GGGTTATAAATATGGTTGGTAACAGATTTGAAAAAATTTAGAGAACATTGCATTGAATATATTTATCTACCCACTTGAGGCTTAACTTGAGTTTTTTATCTTTGAGTGATCATTGCTTGTAATCCTCTTCTTGTTTTATTAATGTATGTTCTTGGGGGTGTGATTATTCCTTTAAAAGTGATTTATTGAAAGGATTTGTGGGGTTTACATTGTAAAGGGGTAAGGTTTGTGAGAAATACTTATCTTCTTGTAAAAGGATTGAGTGGTTCCTTTAAGCCACCCTTGTTTTACTTAGTGAATAGTGTGGAGGAAATCCTTGGTGAGTGAAGCCAAGTTAAAAGATTAAACTCCAAGTGGTTGGACCGAACCTTTATAAATCATTGAGCAAGCTCTTCTTCTCTACTCTTTTTAATTTTGATTTTGTGATTGCAAAAATGGGAGAATTTTTGGAACTCTAATTCACCCCCCCTCTTGGAATACATTGAGTCAACATTTTAAGCTCTTAATTGTTGAAACACCCCCATAGGAGCAGATCTCCTATGTTTATACTTCATGGCAACTTCATATGATGTCTTGCTTTCCTTTTTCCTTTGTGGCTCCTTTGCAGGGCAAGACTTATCTCCAGTTGATTTGATAAATGTTCAGCAATTTTCTCAGAGGGTAATGGATCTTTCTGAGTACAGAAAGAAGCTGTATGACTATCTTGTTACTAAGATGAATGATATTGCACCAAATTTGGCCTCATTGATCGGGGAAGTTGTTGGAGCTCGGTTGATCTCTCATGCTGGTAGTCTCACAAATTTGGCAAAGTGTCCCTCTTCCACTCTTCAGGTATTTTGTTTATCGCCTGATATTCTTACCATTAGATGAAGATACATGTGAAATGAATGCAAAGTTGGACTTTATTATTACTAATGGTTCATTTGGTTCGCAGAAAATGACTTCATTTTGGAAAATATTTTCCATGGAAAATATTTTCTTTTCCAGAAATTATTTTCCATTGTTTGGAACAGTTTAGAAAAATTTTCCAAGGAAATATTTTCTGTTTTTGGTAAGTTAGGGAAAATCTTCAAAATTTCCCCAACATTACCTTATATAGTTTAATCTTTAAATTTTATAAAATTAACTAGAAATAAAAACACTTCAAAAATTCAAACTATTAAAACTTCAAGATAATCAAAGATAAGATTCATAAGAATAAATAAATAAATAAATTTCCTTAAACATTACCAATTTACTACAAATCTATCACATGGACCGTTTCAGACAAAAAAAAAAAAAAATTGAGGAAGAAGGAAGACTTGTGTGAAACTCTTATAGAGTGTGAGGACTTCATTAATGATTGAAACGCACGTGGCATTGTCTTCTCCAAAATACCAAATCGGAGGTAATCACCTTTGAATTGCAGTGGTGATTGAAGACTTTGCAGCGTTCTTGGGTTCGGCAAATTCATCTAAATCTGTTAAACCCAAATAGAAATCAAACTGCGCAGATGATGATTGAGATTAAATTCAAGAGTTGGGATCAAAAGAATGGAGAATTTCTTGAATTTTTTGGGGTTTTGGCAAATGGATTGTGCAATGGATCCGATAAGAGTATCCACGTGTTTCTATGGAAAATAACTTCCGGAATTCAATTTTGGAATCTTCCAGACTTCTCCTTTTTCAATTTTTCGTTGACTCAAGCTATTTTCTGTTGACTTATTTTCCATTAGCCTTCCGAACATCAGAAAATGAGGAAAATCATTTCCTGAAACCATTTCGGGAATTCAATTCCAGAAGTTATCTTCCAGACTTTTCCCTTTTCAATTTTCCATTGACTCAAGTTATTTTCCATTGACTTATTTTCCATTAGCCTTGCAAATATTAGAAAATGAGGAAAATCATTTCCTGAAACCATTTTCTGGCGTAGCAAACGCAGCCCAAAACTAGTGGCTTCCCCAGTTAATAGAGCCTTTCGTTGAAGCAATTGGATTTGACAGATGACTAAATCTGTTGGCCTTCGGGTTTTAACACTATTTAAGCCTCTAATGGAAGTTTATTTAATAATTACTAAAAATTTTGGCCACCATAGAACTAAATTTCTTATTTGTATTTTACTTGAGTGAGGCTATTAATTTTAAAAGGTATATATTCTTTTCTGGTGACAGATTTATTGTTAGTTTTTTCATGTCATCTATATCACTCACTTGTTGCTGTCTTCAGGGCACTTAAAACCCGGGGGAACACACCAAAGTATGGACTGATTTTCCATTCATCTTTTATTGGCCGAGCATCTGCAAGAAACAAGGGCCGAATGGCGCGTTATCTTGCAAACAAGTGTTCCATCGCATCTCGCATCGACTGTTTTGCTGGTAATCATACCCTTTCTGATAACATATGCTCTTTCTTTTCTGTTTCTCATATGCTGTTATTTTTTTGCTAATCAATATTCCATGTTGTTTTGCAGAGAGGGGTACTATTGTGTTTGGAGAGAAACTCCGTGAACAAGTTGAGGAGCGACTTGACTTTTATGACAAGGGAGTTGCACCTCGTAAGAACATTGATGTGATGAAATCTGCAATTGAAAGTACTCAGGGCAAAGGTATTGGAGCAGTTCATAATTGTTATTTTCTTTGTATATAAATTCTAAAACTTGGCTGTGCATTGGATAAGTCATTTCAGTTTGTGCCCTTGGAACATTTGATATGCCCTTCACTCTTTTGACTTGGATTGGAGCTTTTGCATTCCATAATTTCAGTACATCATAATACTTGTTTTGCTGCGGCAAGTTTTAGTGTATGTGCAATTTTTCATGCATGTGTTAAGCCCATTTCTTCATTGAGATCTCCACATAACCCGTTTGCATGCAGACACAGAAATGGAAGAAGCACAACCTATTGAACCTTCAGTGAAGAAAAGCAAGAGGAAGTCCAAAGCTACAGAAGATGATGATGCTATGGCTGAGGATAAACAAGCAGCGGCTATGAACGGAGATGCCTCTGAGGATGCAAAATCAGAGAAGAAGAAGAAGAAAAAGGAGAAGCGAAAGCTGGAGAATGAGGAGGGCCAAGTTCAAGCAGATGAAAAATCCAACGGTGTAAATGGTGTTGATGCTGAGCAAGATGGTGCGGCCAAGAAGAAGAAAAAGAAAAAGAGCAAAAATGAAGTAGATGAGGATGCTGGGGAAACAAAAAGGAAGAAAAAGAAGTCCAAAAGTAAAGATGACTAGTGAATTTACAAATAGTTAATGACCTAAAGCCGGTTCTGTAACTGTGTTTTGCTTAACTAGTTTTGCTTTGTTATCCTAACTGTCTCATCGAGTAAATATGTTTTCTCCTTCTTCATATCTTGTGGGGTTCGCCATAGGGTGGGCAAAAAATTCTACAATAGAAAAAAAATATGAAATCGATTAAAATTATAATCAACAGATAGGGCTTAATGGAGTTTTAGGTTTTTTAATTAAAAATTTAATGAAAATGACTCTCTCTCTTTTCTCTCTCTACTCTAGAATTCTTCAGCGTCTGCCTTTGAACTTCTTCGGTTCTCATCCCTTTTTTGGGTGCTTGGAAGCCTTTGGGCTTTTAGAGCTTTTGATGCTTGAGCAGTCAGAGGGCTTCTCAAGCATGTTGGAGCCAGTCAACCATACTTCTATGTCCGGTGACTACTTTAGATAGTTTGTTGGTTTTTTTGTGGCCTTGTTGGTGGCCTTTGCTCTCCTTTCTTTCTATTTTTTTATTTTGGTTTTCTCGGATTTGGTGGCCAACAAGCCAATCATGAAAAATTTAAGGGATGGTCGCTGTTTGCTCTAATGTTCCAACCATGGCAACCCAGAGAACAAGCATAATTTATGCGAGAGTAGATGAAAGGGTATTCATATCTCTAAAACAATGACCAAAGGAATCTGTTAATCTGTTTCCTTAGCGGTTGTTCATGTGAAATGCTCACCGTCCTCCTTTATCTATTTTATGTTGAACTTAATCTACTTTTCATTTTCCCTTCATTTGTGCTTAATTTGTTTGTAATTTGGTAAATGTGATCAGAATTTCATTGTAGATGCTGTATGGTTTTGAAAAAATGTTATGCTTTTCATTGAGTTAAAAAAAAAAA